AACTGTTATAAATCCATCCTTTAATCAACGGTATCCGAATGACGGCAGTTTTTAGCCAGATGTTGATGTGCCAGAGAACCTGCTTAAATGATAAAATTTCGTGATTAAAGCAATCACGAAAATACTATAAAGGATGACTGTAGCCATGGTCTCTTGAGCCGATTTTATCTATCATTATTACTACAGTAGGCAATCCGCCACTTTCACAGCTACTATGCAACTAGTCTCAGACCCTGAAATACTCTCTTAACTGGATGTTTATTTCGATACATAAATTTGGAAAGCCAGTTAAAGTTTTATTGTATTTTTGTCATGGCAAGTAGTTTCTTATTTGGATTTTTATTTATGATTTGCAATACCTCCTTAAAACAATTGATATGAGAATTTTTGCATTTTATTATCTATGTATGCCTTATTCTTAACGTTTTGCCAATCCTACTGTATAAGTCAATTATTGCCTTAAGCAGATATCTTTATAACTTTGGCAAGTGGTTGATGAAATTTAATTCCACTTTTTCCTTTAAATCATTTATTTCATCTTTCAATAGGCATAGTCAGACTGTGATCAAACCTGAGTGTCCAACACGCACTCGCTATTTGTGGGAGGGGTACTCTTTTCTCAGCATGTCGGGCTCCGAGAGAGCTCAGGTGAATGATCTGGCAAGTCCTGGATCTTGCCTGAGATTCTTCAACCCGATTCCTTTCATGTTCTGTGAAAAACAAGAGAACTGCTTCTACGCTCAGCGAAACGACCGAACATACTGGCTCAGCACGGACGACCAACCCATGATGTGGAATGCAGTAACTGTGAACGACACTGAACGCTACATCAGTCGTTGTGTTGTCTGTGAAGCTCCGAGCAGAGTAAGATGCCACATTGTGTGTATAATTGCCTCCGTTTGGGTCATATTTAATGATTTGCTTTTATTGTAACACAAAAAGCAATACAGTTCCAGTTTATGATCATGATTGCGTTTTATTATGATTATCGAAGCTATAAAATAAGCCATTTATCATCACTTTCGAAACATACCACTTAATATCATACAAGTAGTCTGACAAGGAGCAAGGTTTTTGCTTAATTGAGGGCCTGTAGGAAAGTATAGTTTCCCAAGTAATTCGTCTGGCCATTGCCAAATATTATAGCTTTGTATTGGACGACCAGTTATATTTTTGTTGACATAATGCTTAATGATCTGTAAAACTTTCCTGATTAATTAAGATAAGCCTGATAAAAATCACTTGTGGCTGACATAAAGGGTACGGCATAGGCCACTTACAGCCTATACACGTGTAGCAAAAGGCAAGTTATATAAGTCTGTTTTAGGAACTTTAAATGAATTTTTTTTATTTAATTTACTTCAATTCATTAATATTATTGCTTGACTCACTGCTCAAATTCAGTTCTTAGGAAGCTCAAGAGTTTCTTTGTGCCCGCTTTCCGTTTTGTGAAAGTTGCCTCTTTAAATAGTCTACATCGGATAAGGTTATTAGAGAAACAAGATAAATACACAACATTAGAAGAAATGCTGTCTAAAGAACGGATAGCACAGTATCTTCTAATATACACAGATTATTTTAATGTGATGCAAAACTAACGTATGTAAGTATCCTTAAAGGTACTATTGTAATCATTAATCAGTATTTTCAGAGCTGATAAATTCTAAGCAGACCAAAGGTCTCTCAAAGACCCCAGTCTATATTTGGATAAGAGAGATGTGTACAGAAACAGGTGCTTCTCTAGTCTGAGTCCATTCGGGAACACTATAGTTG